ATTTTTTGATGCGCTTTTAAGTATCTAAGTCTGCATGTATGTACGTATGTGATTTTTTTTTTTTTTGTTACTCATTACTTGATTGTTTAGATTACTACTTTAAGAGGCTATAACTTTAAACATAAAATTTATGAACTGCAGCACTCGAACGCCGATCACAGCCGATCATCTACGGTGCATCTTTTCAGGTTTATTAAGTTCGATTTATTTTCTTCATTCACTTCAGCTGTTTTATTGCCACTTTTAGCTCGTCATTTGTCGCCATGTGCCACTTTTATGCACTCACATGTACCATGTACATATGTATGTATGTATGTATGCATGTAGAACGTCTTTGTTTTCATTCTGTTATTGCCATTTATTTTTCCTTTTACGCATAAATTAATGAATGCTTGTAGAATTCATCGGACATTGGCGATCAATGCAATCGTTGTCTTCGGCCGGTCGTGTGATATGGTCATCAAAATATGCTATCGAAATCGAAAATCTTGACAACCATATCCGCAAGTCCCCAAACGCCACGAGGAAGGTAATTGAACTTGGTGGCTGTTGCAATTTGCGCGCGCCGAAAATGGCGATTATTTAATTTTCCAACAATTTATAGAATGTTTAAATATTAGGTTTTAAATAAAAAGCTTTATTATTCTAAATAAGTTAATGAGTTTATTGACATTTGGGGGAACATCAGAGGGATAGAAAATTTGCGTTAAATTAACGAAAGCAAAAGAAGAAAGACAAGAAAGCACGACCCAATTTTCACTGAGAAGTTATTTGTAACATATATGTATAATAAAACGTACATTAGAGTGGTCCAAAAAAAAATCCAAGATATTGTTTGAGGTACCGTCCAAAATTTTTCCTTTTGCCGAAAGAGGTGCTGGTACCAAACTTTACGTTTCTAAGTATAAATTTAGAGGATGCTCATGATGCTCACATTTTACTCTAGAAGTATTGTGTACATATGTATGTTAATAAAACGTGGTTAGTTTTAATCGAGGACACAGTTTTCTATTGTTGTGCGTTTTATGAGTGATTGCCGTGATGAGGCACATTACAAGGGGTTCGTTTATCAAGGCGGAAAGAAAGCCCTAAACGGCTAAACCCCCACATATTCGCTAGCAAACACGAGTTGAGGAGGACCACGCACGCCATTTCAGCGAGATTGGAAAAGGGGCTTAACACTTGGTGTTTGAGTCACTTCGATTGCAGGGAACTATACTATACTATACTAGTTGTATAAAGTTGTCAGCGTCGCTTATTTGCATCTCAAAGCCACAGAAGGCACAAAAAAAGTTAGGGAATTCAACAAAAAATGGCATGGAGATCGCCCTTTCAAGCCACTTTACTGCAGTCGATTTTCAGACAAAGGACTGACTGGTCCGCAGGAACCATCAGTGTAGAATTTATGCCCCCATCTGGGTTTATAAAATGGATAAAATTAGCTATGCCTTTACGTATGAATTATGACGCAATTCCTAGGAAATATCTGGCTACTATGGCTCTTATTTTCCTACTAAAGGGATTATCTTTTTCTGTGTGGTGTACTATGGAAAGACTATTGGTCCCACATACCGAGGTCTGCGCATGAAAAATTTTAAAACCTTTCATATTGAAATTGGCTTCGATGTAAAATAAATTATTAAAAATGTCAGCACTTGTGCCTTCACTTCACAAGAATGCGCTTATTAAAAATGCAATATGGAAGTTAATTATTCATAATTTACTGGCGAGCGAAACAGCAGGGAAACCGCAAAGGCGCCACTACCGAAGGAGCACAGCTATGAGAATGTATGTATGTATGTATGTACCTATTACCCTTTATCTGCATACATACATATATATACATATGTGAATGTGAATACAAAAATAACTATATTAATGGCTGGCAACCTCATACCGCGCTGCAGCGGCTGCTGGGTAAACAAATTCTTAGGCTTGCCTATAAAAGGATCCTTCAATAGGCCAAAGGAAGAGGCGGGCATGCATTAATAAAATATGAAAATATTTACATAGGTGCATGCTATATATATATGTATGTTTGCGAATGTAAGCTAAAGAATGTAGTCGACTGAAGTGCTTGGCAAGGCGAATATAGGAATATTTAGTAAGGGGAAACAAGAAGGAAAACAAAAACACGCATCAAAGTGTACGTACATATCTAGCAGGTGACAACGCAACAGCTGGTGAGCTACATTCTTATAGATACGCGGTACTGCCCTGCTCGAAAATGTATGCGCCTACATACATACATACATCTGTATGCCTCGTTTTGGCAATGTAGTAGTAGTAACTGACTAGTTTAGTTACAATCAAAATACATCCGACTAGTCGTGCACTAGAAATTGTTGCTGAATAGTTTAGTTAACTCAAAGTCTTTTCCATTCTATTAAAAAGTTACTCATACGCCCCCGCCCCAGGTTTGAGTATTAGCAAAAAAATAGTCAGTATCGTTGCTGAATAATGGCAACCACCCTTCTTCACAAACTTCAATTGTGTCTTTTTGACTGTCATGGTTGACGGATTACGCAACTTTTGATGGACGGACGAACGCACGAACGGCGATCACGGAATTTCGCATCGTAAATTGGTTGCACGTATACTCGCAGCGTATACTCGCGCACAATCGCACACATGATATACATACTTAAGTATTGTTGTTGCTGTAGTAACATTGCTAACATTGTTGGAAAACATTGCATGCAATGTGTTTTTGGTTTTCGCAGCAATTCAGCAGCGCCGTTTTTCTACGAGCTCATTCAGCCACGATATTTTTTTCTTACACGTTTGTGCCGCTATGTGTTTGTATAAAACGAGCAATGTAATTGTGCGATTATTACAAGAATTGTAAATGAAAATTCTGTTTATAATTTTTTTTTTGTTTTTGTTTTATATGAAACGAAGTAATAAAGGCAGCATAAATACAACCGACTATAACAACAACACACACACACAAGTAAAAACAACAACCGTAACAATGAACTAAAAACTATAACAATGGCATACAAATGTAACACAGCAACAATGATGCCGTCGAACATGCAACATTTTGTTAAGAAAGGCAAAAAAAAAAAATGTGCTCATACAATAAAACAAGAATGAATAAATACAAAAAAAAAAAAATTTAAGCAAAAGGCAACAAAATTTTATGGAAGGAATACGAAGAGCAGCAAAGAGTATAAAACAAAAATCAAGCTGGCAAAAATATCAAGTCGACAAACGCAGCAAAGTGCACAACTGTAGCATTTCGTCTGCGGGTTTTTCAACACAGCCCCCCCTCTTTCCAGATTTCTTCAGTTCCCTCGCCGCATAAAAATGCATGCGGTAGCTACTGGAAAATGCGTGCGCGTGCATCCAATAAATAATCAGCGCCAGATACATGTTCGTATGTACATATGTACATTAGACCGTACCACCTCTCAAGCAAACAAAACAAGTTCGCCGCAACACCGAATCTAAAGTAATTTTGCAGAAGAATTTAGAAGAAAAAACAATTGTTTTGGAACAAATAGTTCTACTGGAATAATGGTAATACTATCTTCGAAAAAGTTCAATGATTTTTGAGCAGCTGTGTTAGTAAATGTACATAAATATTTAAATATTTTTGGCACAAAAAATTAAAAATATTAAGCTAACACAGTTTTGAAGCACATTTTGCACGGTTAGTGCATTTTATTTTTGCTGTAGCCTTATTTCTTTTCTTGCAAAGGATATTAGAAAATATTTTACTAGCTTTAAAAGTTCAATTTTTTTTTTTTTGATTACTAGAAGACTTGCATTTAAAAAGCATTCATAGCAAATACATACAAAACTACATACATATGTATGTACAATGCACAAATCTAAGTACAATACCTGTAAGTATGTATATAAAGGTACATCTATGCAACATGCAACTTTCTGTGTTTACGAACAACTCTATTGTGGCATTTTCTTTTCGCTGAAAATTTGCAAAAGTAAAATGTGTTTAGTAGTGATGATTTGCGAAAAACTTCTTACTAGTGAACTTGTTAAAGTTTTCTTATTAATGATTTAGCACTTTTCTGTTTTGTTTTTCAAAAAGTTGACCAATTACTTGAATTATTTTAGGCTCCGTTAAATATTCTGTTTGAATGACATAGTTTCGATATGGACCAATCACTTTGGGAAAAGCTAAGTGACTACTAACAGAGAGAAGTTTATTTACAGAACAATAATAGATATGTACATTAGGGTGGTCCAAATTTTTTAATATTAACCCATTTTAAAATAAAAAATACGGGTGTGGCTATTTTCAGTTCTGGGTGTGGCGGCAAAAAATTCCACAAAGATGATGATTTTCCTGTGCATTTTAAACCACCCTGATGCACAGGCATATGAAAGTTGTTCGTGAAAAATTCGACCCTACTTAGCTCTTACAAATGACATTTAGATGTATTCAACGCAGTTATCATTTGCACAGGACACTGACGCTTGGATACTCTGGGGGTCGACCACCGGAAGTTGATGAAACATTTGAGCATCTCATTTGTGGCAGCCCAGCGTTCTGTCTCATTGCTACTTTTTAGGTTAAAACGTTCCGACTATATAATCACTTTGCATATATTGCGCTGCAGTAATAGAATTATTATGCATCTATACATACATATGCAAATGCATATAACTACATACACATGTACATATATGCGCACAGCAATACACTGAACAAGAAAAGATTTATGAGCGCACCTCACACCTTTCGATAGGTACCAATTATAATGTCAAATTAAATCAATGCAATGCATAAAATGCTTGAAAAGCCGAGAAATTGAAATAAAAACCGAAATGCATAAAGAAAGTGAATAAAAAGGCATTTTCGAAGCGCCGTAACTTACAGCTAACAACAAAGCAATGCCGGCAAAGTATGCAATATCATTTACTCGAATCAATGTGAACTCGAGGTATAAGCTACAACCCATAGAAAGAGTCAAAGCGTGCGCTTTAACCCATTGAAAGCTGAGTAAAGAACTAAGCGCGTGCGTTACCGCCTATCCGCCGAGACGGCTAAATAGAAAACAAGAAAAATGTAAGTAAAATGCGAAAGATGCGGCAGCAGTTCATCCGGATGCATTGCGACCAACTATTTAACACGTCAACATCAGTAATTGAACAGCAGCAAAATATAAAAAAGCCCAGCTTCAACACTAACAAAATCAATATTAAGAAGAGCAGCAGTAATGCAGTGTTGTAACAATGCACTTGTGTTGCTTGGTAGTCCAATTGGTCATTGTATGAACATAGTGGCCCAGGGCTAAGACGTGCGTACAAATCTAGCGATTGAACTTCAACTTTGCGCGCAGACGCACTCTGCCATACATACATACGTAAATATGTATGTACGTACGCCACACACTCAAATGCAAAACGCATGCGCAACAATACACTGAATCATCAATTCTGCTCTGGTCCACACCACCAACTATTTGGACTTGCACACAGCTCCATAAGTTACTCGTACTTAGCGCTTTGCATTGCCTTTTCATTCTGCATTTCTCCGCTCGCTCCACTGCCCTAGCCGAGGTCGTTAATCAAGCGATCGACTAATCGGTTAGCATTGGCGGGCAAATGTTGCACTCTGCTGCCGGTTGCATTTATTGTTGCTGTAGCTATTTAGGCCTCCCAGCGCTGAGTGCCAACTGCAGCTGCATTGACCATAGGAAATCTCACCTTATTGCTATGAACTAATAGATTTTCCTATTTGGCGCGCGCTACAAAAATCAAGAAAAAAAAACCAATGGCAGTGTGGAGTAACAGAAAGGTGGCAACTCATTGCCTTACAAATATGAGTACTTTGGGGTATTTAAAGCGTAAATGTGTTTATCTTGTGCGGCAATAATTTAGCGATCTCTTGTGAATGATCCGCATTTTTGTATTTCCCTTTGCTGCTTCTTCTTCGTAGGTTTCACCCACTAAACGCCTTTGCTGCTATTTTATTTATACGGTTGGGGAAAAGGCAAAAGCAAGCGCGGAGAACTAAGTTTAGCCGCCAAATGTTCAAAACTCAGATGTTGCAGCGCCTCTATTTGGTCGAACGCAAAAAAAGCAACGCTTGTTGGCCTTAAGGCCGCTAGTCAGTCAGTCAGTCAGTCAGCTAGCTCAATGCACACTCACACTCACACACGCATGCTCCAAAGTTTTTGGCCTTGAAGCCTTTGAGGGATTTCTCAAAGGTCTACTCCTCATTGCTGCTTTTGCTTTTGTGTTTACCCTTCTTTCAGCTTGATCGGCTCAGTTGAACAGTCGAAGTGGAGGCGTTGCCAAATACAGCCTTTAACGTTTTTATTTGGAAATAAGTTTTTCAAGTTTTTTTCTGTGGATACATATTTTTTAGTTTAGCGGTTCTTTTCTAAAAATAGTAGAGATTTTATTTAGTGTTGTAAAAGGAAAAAGAGCAAAAAAACTGAAGTGTTGAAATAAGTGAAATGCAAAATGCTAACGAGGAGAATTTTGTGCATCAATAAAATCGAAACCATACATACGTATTAATAAAGATACCGGTAACGATATCGATTGCAAATGCAAAACCCATCACTAAGCTTCAAACTATAAAAGACTCGATAACGATAACAAAAACACTACCTTAGGTATCGATAAAGTTTTTGCTTAAATTTATCGATGATACAATATTTATCAGCATTGTTGGGGTTGTAGTTATCGACATCATATTCGTTAGCGGTGGTCCATCGCAAGGATTTGGGTGACGCTTCTGCCGAATGCCGACAAAAGCTTTCACAGAAACAGAAGTCCTTGTCTATCGGGAGGAAGCCCAGCATGCTTCGGTCAACACATCCCAACACACTATCTTGAAGTCGATAGAGGATTGGGGAGAGAACGAAGAAGGCATCAATTGGCAAGAGTCAGAGCCTCTCCCCTAAGGTTATTTCCCGGCTCTATAAAGTCATAGTTAAGCCCATAATGTAAAGGAGTCCCAATTTTGAGAGAATGCATTATAGAAGACTTCACTGGTCATAGAGCTGTAGCTAGTATATTAGACTGATCTGATTCTCCAGACTGGGTTTTCAACTGTCCCTGGATTTGGATACTCTAGTATTTATTCTTGGAGGCTTCAACATTATCTCTTAAAGCACGGATTACTGCATGGCTGAACTGGCTCCAATGACTTATTTCTCCAATCACATCGCCTTTAAGTGCAGTGATGGATCGAAGCCTAGCGGCAGGTAACAACCTCTTCACCAACCCCAAATTCAAGTTTTCTAATAACTAAAGTGCTTTCTAAGCAGGGGTAGCTGCTATTAATGAAGCGCGACATTTGCAAAGATGGTAAATATCTAATAACTAAGGGCTTTGGGCTCATTAACTGAATATGGTTCTCGACCATACAGATATTGCAGCCAATTGCAACGCAAAAGAGTTGGTTTCACCGCCAATAGAGCGAGTGTAGCTTTGCCTATATGAAGACTACTCTTGAATTTAGTTAGATGGGTATCGGACAGCTCAATGAACGATGGGTGCAAAGCAGGACGTGAGTAACTGCAAGGTCTCTCTGGCTGACGTTGGACTGAGGGTGAATGAGTGGCGACTTCAAGGCAAAATCTTTCTAACTATTATTTCGAAGCGAGAACGCGCGTGTGGGGACAAGTATAATTATTATACTATAATACTCTTTCGAAGTCCTTTCACTTTTTTGAGTAAAAACTGAATATCGCAATACTTTCTCTACAATCTACTTAAAATTTAAAATGAACACACATATGTACATATCGACGGTACTTTGGCAAAACCTCTTATCTCAAAATACTCTCAAACAACACTCTCTAACAAAAAAAAAAAACTGTCTATTAATAACGAAAAATCAATTTTAATCACTTTTTTACTGAATATTAAAGACTAAGTACTTATTAGTTAATTAAGAATAAAAGATGTATACTGAATTGTAGCATTTTCAGGCCTATTTTGTATCAATTTTACGAGATCCGAAGTAGTAGTGATTTCTGAGATACGAGGTTTTGCCAAAGTACCGTCGATATGCACTCGTAGATTAGTTGCTTATTGACACATTTTCATATTTCATATCACAATTCATAGCAGGATGGTCATAAAACAATCTCTGGCTTCCAGAATTAGGCTATCGCCAGTTCGTAATCTAACTTTCCAGAGAAATAAAAAAGCAGCAGGAAAAACCACTAAAATTTAAAAAGTAGAATAAAAAAAAGTATCTAAAATAACATAAAAACCAAGCGAACTTGAAAAGCTGCTTGCACAGTAAGCGTGAGTGTTTTTAACGTTGATAAAGATCTGGTAATATCTGACAGAAAACATGATCTCCGCCGAACGACAGGAGTCCAACAACACACAGAAGAGCTGCAGGGGCCGCAGCGGCAGCAGTAGCTAACGCAAATGTTGTTTTGCGAAATAGAAGCCGCAGCGAAGATGTGCCCTGCAGTGAAAAGCCAAACCAGTCAGCAAAAATACCAGTTCATTAACTAGTATGTGCTAAAGCGATGGCCTACCAGTTCGACAATTTCGACGAACTAATGCGTTCAGCAACATCTGTCTTTGAATTGCCAAATCTAAAAATAAACCACAATTAATTGCTCCTGTTACAACCCTGCAAAAATTGTTGGACCATGTAGTCTATTTATGGTAAATTGGAGTACTTACAAAAGTGTTCCTCTGTCATGCTGTAGCGGACCAACTCGTGTCTCTGTGCCAGCTTATTGTTTGTTATCCGATCACTGCTCGTGTTTTAACGAAATGTGATTGAAGTTGAGCATTTAAAAGCACATTTGCATGTCTGGCTGTAGCTGAACGTGTAGAGATGCTCGCTGTTAGTTCTTAGCTCCCAGCATGTTCGGGTTCGAATGCCGTCAGAGGCAACATGTAATTTTTTAATTTTTGTCTTGGTTTTTATTAATTTCGAAAAAGCATTTGAGAAGTGAAGAACAAAAGCGTGTACAAACGAAAAAATATAACAACAATGCCATTGTTAATATGTTGGAGTAGTTTTGTGCTACTCTGATGTAATGCAGGGATGGAGTATATGGTCCTGCCCTAGGACATCGCAATGTTAATTGGACCATATTTTTTATATGAATTGTGGTTAATTTTGGAGTACTCCTTGGTCCTTAGGGAGTACTCTTTACACGCATGCATGGAGTAGTCGCGATTTTTGCAGGGTAATGGCGGATGTGGCGTCGCGTGAAGGCTATCGGTTCTGCTTCTTAGATCGCAGGTTCGAGTCCTCTTGGAGGTGGTTAAGATTTTTCAAATTAAATTGATGTAATATATTATTTAAACTTAAATATAAATTACAAATTTGAAAATATAATTTCATTGCAGAAAAAATATGCACGTGGAAAGAAATAATACTTTTGACATAAAAAAAGTTCAAGTCCAGGGAAAATTTTTTGTTATTTTTTTTTATTTAGGTTTTAATTTTAATTAAATTTAATTAAAAAACTATATATCGTCACCTGAAATGCAGAAATACGTAACAAACATCATCGGTGACATGCAAAAAGTCATAACTAATAAAAATTTCAAAATTCACTTTTTGATTTAAATGTTGGATTTCGTCGAATTATAACTCTCCACATCATTTTATGAAAAAAATATTAAAATATTTGTCACGACTTTTTCATTTCATTTACTATGTTGTTACGTCCTTTTGCATTTCAGTTGACATATGTATGTATGTATGTATGTATATAAAATTAAAATAAATAAAAAAAAATTTAAAACTTTGGATGAATAGGCAGACTATCTCATCAACTAGTATGATGCTACTAGTAGATACTGATGCATAGCCTGAAAATTGACATCTCGTAGGGCACTGCCATGTTAAAAATATCAGTCGTTAACATTAAAAAAGGATAGAACGTGAACCAGTTGGGCTGAAATGCAAACTGGTAGCATTCTACACAGTTCACAACTAGTAGCTTTCCCTGCAGGGCAGTTATACATACATATGTAGATATATATGAATGTGTGATCATATAAATATGTTAAAACGCATAACACAATGTAAGCAACAGCGGACTAGCGAGTTGCGGCTAGAAGCGCTGGCAAATGGATATTTATGAATGATCACATTCGAGACGCGCGCGTCTGGGTCAAAAGGGCAACGCGGCCGTAAACGGGTTGGTTGAGAAGTTTACAAAACGGCTAGTCAAAAACGCATTGCATATAATAGTACAGACACATGACTGGTGTCTTTGTGAGCAATGACAACAGTTACTGCCGTGCTGGCTGCGGTCCGTTCCCGCATGCGACTCACTTGTCGAACGCGTGAGCGAATCAGCCGAATTGCGAACTTGCGGTTGTCATTTACAACAGTAACAATTAAAAGTCAAACAACACTACATATGTATGTACATAGAAAGACCAACAACAACAATAATGAAAGTAGCAAGAGCTGCAAGACTCCATCCAGCACGCGCTGGCCAAAAAGAAATGAATGCCAGCGCGAAAACTTATTCGAGCGTGGTTGTAGCGTTTTGTTGTTATTGCTGCTCACCGTTTTGCTTGGCCTCTTTGAAAAGTGTTTTTCGTTATTACATACATATGTATTTTTAGTGACTACTTCTCTGACGGCCAAGATGATGATGAACAGCTTTGGAGACAAGATCATAAATCAAAATTTAATTTTTATTTAACTGAAAGTTGCTTAAATTTTTTACTTTATTTTCTTTTATTTTATTTTATGTGGCTATTCAGTTTGCACAGAGCACACTCTCCCCAGCTGCTCCCCTCCCCAGCTTAAAGTCCGGCATCTCATCCACTTTGCTTTTCAAAAAAAAAAAAAAAAACCTGCATACATTTCAAATCGCCGGTGAGACGCGTGCGCAAGCTGAGCTGTTGTTCGCTGCGCTGCGATGAAGATTTGCGCCAACTGATAAAATTGCGCACGGCGATACGCATTGCGAGATGCCAGCAATAATGCAAAACCATGGCAGTTTATTTTTCTTGTTGTTGTTGTTGATATTTTTCGCTTGCTTTCATGTTCGCCATGTAGTTCATTGTTTTTTTTTTGCATTGAAAGTGGCTGCCATCAGCCTAAGCAAAAGGGGGACACAGTTGTCGCAGCTACCTGTGTTGAGCGGCGAACATCGCCAACAAAAAACAGCGAGAGTTATGACATTAAACGCTGGCAGCAAAACATCAATTCAGCAACAACACTAACTAACCAAGTCAACGCCGGCAGTCTAAACTTTTACTCGCATTTATGTAGATATATATGCAACAGCTGTAGTGGAGCAATCGCTGGCATACAAATCTGTTGCAGGGCATTTATGTACATAGTAAGGTAACATGAAAAGGCCGCAAGAGACAAAATCATTTCATTGACAAACAATTTGTTCCAATTGTTGATGTTATTGTTGTTGGCTCAAAATTATGCCTTTATGTGTGCCACAGGTGGTAGAAGAATTGTGACTTGGCTCTTGTGTGGAGTTTCTTGAGATGTTCATAGAATACGTTAGGAAATTTTGTTTTCCCTGATGCTTTATGCATAAAAGGCATTAGAGGAGCTCACTATTTGTAGCATTTTAGGTGTAAAATTGTTGCGTGGGTTGATTTTGGCATATGTATGTAGACTAAAAGGTATGCCGAATATTACTAGTTTTTCGACAATCAGTTGGAGTGTTTTCAATAAGAAAGTTGTACAAAGGACAAGATAGCGCAGATCGAGAGGAAGAAATAAAATAATAAAAAAGAGAGGATCCGCAAAAAAATTAAAATTGTTGTAACAATGCTATGTAAAAAATATGAATGCTGCAGAATTTCATGAGCCATATGTGAATTGCAATATCATGGACTAAAGGTGAACACAATTATCAGTACACTTACGGCCAAAGCGGCTAAGCTTTTGTTTATAAGGTTAAAATACAAGTAATTCCACGTGTTTTATTTTTCTACGTATTTTAGTATTTGCAAGTTTTAGAGACTTTCGGATGAATTCTATCGGGATTTTTGGAAACAATCTCGAACTTTTTCGAGTGCCATTGGGATGCTTCTGGAACTTTAAAATCCAAATGTAAACTTAAATCTCAATATTGCTATTTAGTTGTTAACGCATTGATAATAAAATAAAATTCTTCTTGATTTTTCGGGGTTTTCTTCGAGACTTGAGCTTAGTTTCTCAACAAAAATCACAAAAAATATATTTCATTATCTCTATCGCTTGATACGGTACTTCGTCGTTGCTGTAAATTTTCTTGAAAAAATTAATATATACATATTAATATGTATTTTTTTCTTGAGAGCTGCTAACTGACTTAAGAAATTTGGAAGAAACTTTTTTTCATTTCTTGATCGTTTTTTAGTGAATTTTTGGCTCTTCCCGAAACTTATGCCATTTCAAAGATTTCGACATTGCTTTTTTCGTGGCATTTCGGGACTCTTCGTGTTTTAATTTTCCTTCAATCTTAGAATTTTTTCGGTACTCTTATGGATATTTCTTAGTGCTTTACAGGATGTCTCGTGTTTCTTTTCGGGACATTCGGAACTTTTCGAAAATTTTCCGAGTTCTTTTGGCAAATTACAAGTTCAAGAGTATCTTTCTGTGGTGGTTGGTATAAATACTCGTATACATTGATACAAATTCCATTTCACTTAAAAAAAAATTGGCAGTGAAATATTTAAAATTATGAGACATTTATTCTTGGTACTCTACGAATTGGTTTTGGATGCTTGCAAACTAAGATGCAAAAATTCAGCTAATTTTTTCTGTTAAAAAATAACGCTAGGCACTCTTTTAATTTTGGCTAAAAAATAGCATGCAAAAATCAATCGGTATTTCTTGTTCGAAGTAATTAAAGTAAAAAGTAAATACAT